CTAACTGAGAATCCCACACAATGTTTTCAGGCTTTAGGACTGTGTAGCGTTACTGAAAGATTTTTCACTTCTAGTTACCAATATGTTTTTATGCTAACACTATAGGGACTGCAAGATTTGGCCTCACGTGGATTTTCATGCCCTTCACAATGCATGAAAGGGGTGTCTGTTGTATACCCACTAAACTTAATTATCCAGTTGATGCAGAAACTTCCAAAAGTGTTGCCTAGCAAAGAGAGGATAGTTAAAATACTGACAAACATTTTTATAAAAGCAGAACTAAAACATGACTCTTCAATAAAATCACAGAATTATTCCACATCTGAAAAAACAAACAAACATTGATCAAAATAATGTCAGCTTGTCTAGGAAAGTGGCTAAAAGTTATCCTAGTCTCAGGAGATAGTCATTCTACCTTTTGTATATAGTCCTCCACTCCCCTTTTCTCCTGCACTATGGCTCTGATTCAGCAAGGTACTTAAAAACATGGTTAATTTTAAGCAAACTGAATTAAATTCCTCTGAGTTCTTGCAAAAGAGAAGAGACTTCCCCTGAATGTCAGTAACACTGAAGTGACCTTGATTGTACTTGTATGGTAGCTATATTAAGGAGGGAGAAGAGAGGGCCATGGTAGTGTGAGAAGTCAAAAATAGGACTAAATGGATGAAACTGGCTAAAATAAAATTAATTTGTGATATCAGAAATTAATTTTTACAATATCAATATTTAGAATGCTGGCTGGTACCTTCAGGGGTGCTAGGGGGAGTGGATCTTGTCTGGCTGGCTCATGGTGCCATCTGCACAAGAAGCAAGTCTGGGTGAAAGTAGGCTGATTGCACATTGGCAAGACAGCTCTGGAGCTGCATAGGCAGCATCTTATAAAAAGGTACAGCAAGTGCCACTCCTCCGAGTGCTCCCCCTAGCACCCCTGAAGGTACCATGATTTTCACAAGCTTGATGTCTCCAGGCACTGCTGCTCAAATGACACCAGCTACTCCCTGCAATATACAGGAAGTCAGACTGATAATCTAATGGTTCTTTCTGACCTTATCCACTCCCTTCCCAGTGTACCACTGTCTCTGGGCCAATGACTTTTCCACTGTGGATAAATACTTAAATAGTCACTGGGAGAGAGACAGAGAGAGAGAAAATGACTCTGTAGCCCAGTGGTTAGGGCACCCACCACTGAGGCTGAAACGTAGGCACCAAGGGAACTTTAACTCTGAAAACTTAGGGAGTGAGTGAGATTAGGTGACTATGGGGTCTAGTGGAAGTTTTGTGGATGGCAGTGGAGCCAAAACTGGGACTTAGGTGCTTAAACTTGAGATTCAGGTGCCTAAATATCTTTGTGGCTCTGGGTCTCATTCCCCACATATGAAGTTTTCCTCTCCCTTGTCTATTTAGAAAGTAAACTCTTTGGGAATGTGTCTTACTCTGCTTTACAGTGGTTAGTCCACTGGGGTCCCTATTCTTGGCTGGGGCCTCTAGATAGGACTGTAATAATAAAAACAAACAATGAAAGGCTAGAAAAATTTACTTTCTCTTTAAATACAAGTCTAAGGGCCATATGTTCAAAACAGTCTCCAAATTTACATGCTCAAAATTGTGCACCTTTTTAAATCCACAAAAACTCAGATTTAACCACACATGTGACATTTGTAATACCTAACTGGATTGTGCAAGTGACATTCGAGTGCAGAACATATGATTTTTTTCCACCAAAAATCTTGGACCTGCAGAATTGGGCAGGCATGGTTAAGAGCCCCAATTGAGAGTACTTTGAAAATTTAACCCTAAATACTGTCAAGATTAAATTGAGACACTAATTAGCAAGTGTGAAGAAATGCAAAATAAAGGCTGATATTATCCCCTCAGCTCTGCCCTCCCCTTTTTTAAAAGTCAATATGTCTGAACAAAAAAATCACGGCCCCCGCAAGCCACAGGCTCAGTAACTTTGCATTTTCTTGTATCTCGTTGGTCACGTCCCCCCCCCCCTCCTCTATTCATGGTGTATTTTGATTGCACGTTATTTGGGACAGGGACCTTGTCTTCTTCCTGTCTGTGTAGATGTTCACAGTAGCACAATGTTAGTGCCAGGTGCACAATATGCTTTCCTTAATTCATACCACTGCAAATCCAAAAGTACAAAAAACTTATTTACATGTAAAAATATACACCTCAGTATTTACCTGACAGCCCAATTACTTAAAAATTGGGTTAAAATAGTCACTGTTAGGCAAGGACCTTCCATGCCAAACCTCAGTGCATTAAAATGGCTGAGTGCAGATGCTAACATAACCTTAACTGTAGTGCATGAACACACCACTGTAATAATTCATTTAGAATGATGACACCTGAGACCTAATTTAAAAGTCCTGGATGAATACTGTTCTCACATTCAAACCCCAAGGCTGCTGCAAACATACCTAAGAAATCCTAAGAACTATAGTGAGCCTAATTGAATTGGACTTAAATGGACCATTGAGGTGGCCTCACAGAGCTCCGGGGAATTTATATTGTCTATACTGTATCAGAATCACAGCTTGAACTGAATAACTGGTTACATTCAATCATGTTACTGTAACTCAAGCTTGAGGTAAAGGGAAAACCTTTTGCTGTCAGCAAGGCTGTATGGAAAACAATTTCAAATCACTTTAAACCCAGTTGGCAACTGCTTTGCCAATTATGGAGTCCATTGGGAAAGGTACGCGCTAGGGCTCAGGACTAAATGATTTATGTCAAGCGCCCTAGTCCCCGGAGGCACATGCAAGAGCCTGCAGAGGAGGTGCTTGTGGCTAATTATTTCTCTGAAGAATACTTGAGCAAGGTAATTTGTGCTTGCAGATGAGTTGCACTGCACACTGAATAGAAGACAAGCAAAGCAGAGACTTTAGTGATATAGCTTACAGACAGATAAAAGAGAAATGAATGGGCTCATCAATCCTCAATCTCGCATGCAAAAATATAACGAGCAAACTCTCGACATTGCGCTGAAAGGAGAACTCTAGAGGCATGTAAAACGGATTCTGATCACAACATCTAATTACAGAGAGGACTGTATCTTTTAAGGGTGTGACAAAGGCTCCCTCTCCCTCAGAGATACTGGTGTAAATCCAGTCACTTCAGGCAAGTAACAGTGGTGTAAATCCCAAGTAAATGAAGCAGATACTAGCAAAATAGGTTTCTGGATTCCATGTAGACACTCCTGTTTGTGTATCCCCTCCACACACTTTTGCTGTATTTGCTCCTGTTTTCTGAAATCTCTTCCCAGGTTTATTACTGAGACCCTGTTATAATCGATGAAGCCACAGAGCTTTTGCAACATACATTTGGTTTAAGAATGGCAAGCTACAAACAAGGAAGTGTAACTTCCATTGCTTTTAGTACAACCTCTACCTACCCCTCCACTTTGAATTACTCTTTGGAAAGGGAAGAGCTACTCTCTAATTGGATATGTTTGTAGGGTAAATCTCATTACCCCTCATGAATGACTTTAGTCTGACTTCCCTCCTGACGCAAACTTCCCCAAAAATTCAAGGCTGTTCAGATCTAAGGGTTGGGTCAATCCTATTAGCAAGAAGAGCCAATTTCTAAACTGTCTTGCAGCGTGGGTGTGTTAGGGGCAAGGGTTTTTGTTTGGGTCCAGCTGTAATTGAAACACTTGTTGGAAGCCTGTATTGCCAGAACACTGGGGCCTGGATTCTCAGCTTGTGTAAATCCATATAGTGCCATTGAAATCCATAGAGCTATTCTAATTTAGACCAGCTGAGGATATGACTCTCGGTGACTTCAGGAGTAGTAGGAATGAACATTTGAGACACATTTATAATTGTTATTTCTGGTAAGGATTTAGCAGAGACACTGCCTGCAAAATCAGATCTGACCCTGAAGCATTCAGGCACAATTGCACACCACTCAGACATTATTAGAGGTCGTATAAGCAGTCAGGGCTGCAAAGCAGTCAGGAAAGTTCCACTCAAATATCCCCAGCCCATAAAACACAGACAAATCAAACACACATAGCCAAACCCAAGGAGTGCCTAGAAGAGCAGGTTATTCACAAACAACAGTTATGACTTCACAGGGAGGAGGAGTGTGCAGCCAGGAACACAAAATGCAGAAAGAGTCATCATTCTGCAACAACCTGGAACAAAAAGGATTACAGCAGCATTCATATTTTCCCCTCAGCCGGTTCAATCATTCATGACAATAATATGGCTGAAGTATGAGGCTAGGGGATGACTTTGTTACCTCATGGTAAACTGATCAGCTTTGAAACAGAAACAAAACCAAACATATCCATTTGTCCATGACATCCAGGCATTTATACCGTATTCATGCAACAATCGTTATAACTCGTTTAAACTGGAATCCATTAATGTTAACCTGGTTAGCTCAGAAGGAAAACTGGACTGCAAAGGGCAATTGACTGCTGAGAGAATACACAGTGTAGAGGTAATAGGAGAAGGAATGACTCTTTAGTAAGTCTGTCCTGGACTTCCAGAGCACAGAAATTGGGAATGGTAGCAGGAACTACAAAAGACTAATGGAGTCTTGCAATAGAAGGCTCTGTAGTCCCATAGATCAGTGGTTCTCAACCAGGGGCCCGGGGCCCCCTGGGGGGACCATGAGCAGGTTTCAGGGGGGGCTGCCAGGCAGGGCCAGCATTAGACTTGCTGAGGCCCAGGGTAGAAAGTTGAAGCCCCACTGCATGTGGCTGAAGCCCGGGGCCCTGAGCAAAGTAGCTTTGTAGAGGCCTCTGTGACATGGGGCTCCAGGTAACTACCCTGCCTTCTGCCCCCTAACACCGGCCTTGGCTTTTATGTGAAGAAAAGCCATTATTGTGGCACAGGTGGGCCGTGGAGTTTTTATAGCATGGGGGGTGGAAGCTCAGAAAGAAAAAGGTTGAAAACTCCTGCCATAGATACTTACTGTGGAAGGAGGCAATACATCCTCATTTATGGCACAAGGCACCTTCTAATTGTAGACTCCACCCCTAGGACTTCCCTGAAGAGAGGACACATCTGAAGAGCCTGGTTTAAAGGCAGCTAGCTGGAATATGCTCACTGAGCAAAGTAGGACAAGGAGCATGCAGACTCAGCAGGTTAGTGGAAAAAGATTTTTTCTCATTATTTTTATTTGTCATTGTGCTGATCCCCTCCTCACTGATTCTTTTTAGGTATGCCCATCATCAGGCATTACATCAGAAACAAATCCCTGTCACAGCAGCTCTAGGCTAATTCTTCCCACTCTCTTCTGTTGAGAAAACCCCTGTTCTCTGTCACAGCCCACATCCTCCTCCTTTTTCTTCCAAAAAAGGAAAAACAGAAAACTTCTTCAATACTTTCCACCTCCCTGCCCCCATAAAGGAAATGTATACCTGTATTCTGCAGATCTCTTAAGTATTTCTTTTGATTTTTTTATTCTTCCCAATCCCTTTTTATCCTCTTTCCCTTTGCATGTCCACATCTTGCTGATCACAGGGGTCAAACAGATTGGAAACACATGTGCCAGCAAAGTGAATTGACCTTTGACCTCTAGCTATTCCTCCATGGGAACATTAAATTTTTTCTGACCAAAAGTATTTTTTTTTAAAGTGGAATGCTCTTTGCCTGGGGCAAATTGCAAGGAAGAACATCAGATGGGTTTTTATTTTACTACTTTGTAGAAAAGTATATTCATAATTTTTGCTTTAAATCTGGAATTTTTTAAACACAAGCCTGGGATTTTCTCTTTATCTGCAGCACTAATTGTGGCTCCTGTGCAAAAGCAAAATAAAATGAGCCAAGTGTTGAGCTTGATTGAACTGGTATTAAACACAAAGCTTGACCAATGATTGGGAGGCAGAAAAGTTTTCAACATCCCAGGTCCACCTACTACTACTTCTGTTGAGAAATTAAATGGACCATATAATTCTCCCCTCAAAATGTTACTGGTATGGATCACATGACCCCTGTCTAAAAAATTGTTTGTAAAGCACTTTGGGATCTGTATGGTAAAGTTGATGTGAGCTTTGCATTATTATTGCTATTAATAAAACTGCAGCTATAGTTCTTTACCTTAAACTGGAGTTTCTGCATATTAACTGAAGGCTCCCAGTGCCCTGTGATACAACCCAACAGTTTTAGATTCTGATCATTCTGGAGGTCTCACCCATGAGGTTTCTAAGCAGGTCCCTATACCTTTTGGAGACATTTTCTTAACTTCCATCATGTCTACTCATGCATATTCCTCATACACATGGCTGGCCTAATTGTTGTTATAATATCAAAAGAACTGAAAATATATCTGTCACAGGCTGGCTGGACCTTTAAGGCAAGGTGGGCTCAGCTTTGTCTGTAACCTACTAGCTAGTCCCTATCTGATGGCAACCATAATAATTACTGACCCCAGCTGTGAAAGGGTCAGGGAAAGACCATATAAACAGAGTGGTGGACTTAATGGAAAAGACACGGGGGGGGGGGTTGGAGGTATTTCATAGGAAGGGCCTGGAAGATGAAGAGGAGGGGGGCAGAGATAGGCCATCCAAAGAGCATGGAAGCTGCCAGAGTCCCTGAGGAGGGGAGACACTGTTGGTTGGAAGCAGTGTAAGAGCAGCTTTGCAGGGGTCAGGAGAAGGGAGTGAGAACTTGAGTGGAGCCTGAGGGGGCAGAAGAATAATTAATCAGAGTGTTTATTTTTGACTTCTAGTTAGACCTGGAAGGGGACTAAACTGAAGAGGTGACCTGTCTGGAGGGCCAGGCTAGCAAAGGCTCAGACAGAGACAGGCCATTGCAGGGGCAAGGACATAGTCAGTAGGGGGTGCAAGAGGTAAAGCTCCCTGCAATGCCAGTCCAGGCATGGGGGTGTGTGCTAGAGGGGAGGAGGTGCTATATCAATATCCAAAACTTTACAAATGGTCATGTTTGGCTTATGGGATCTTTGTTGTTAGCTACATCACCATTCAGATCATGCCATCTCTGAGTTTAGTTAGAAGACTGAATTCAACAAAACATGACAACCTAACATGGGAGAGCCAGAATATATGTCAGAACCTGATAAGCCAACATCACAGATGGTATCTGCCTGGGCATCGCCATTCATCTTGCATGGCCCACCCATTCTTCTTAAGATACACACTGCTGGAAAGAACACTGTTCCCTCTGAAGCCCGATATTATGAATCCCTTTATATCTGGGTCTTGGTTCTACTTTTTCACTTTGCTTCCTGCTAATATATGCTGTCAGCACAAATGACTATTCATAAAAAAATTAATTCTGGAAGTGTTAATCATTGTTTGTCAGAAGTCAATCCAGCTTCTTATTTTTCCATTTAAAAAGTTTCAGTCATCCAATCAGGAAGCAGAAATAATACCATGTGACTTAGGTGACCAGTCACACAACATGAATAACAAATACCTAGTAGTCCTAGTGAACAGTTGAGCAGCACATACACTGGTATTTTTGCACATGAGCTATTTGGCAAATCCTTATGAATAACCAGTACATTGGTAGGAATCAGAACGAGTTGACTAACAATTCACAAATAGACAAAAAAGGGCTACATTAGTGAGATTACTCGTTCTCCATGAGTAATTTGACCAGTTTTAAATGATGGGGATCAAAGGGGGCAGTGAGCAGCCTCTCTATATGCATGCTTATGTCAAAAAAATAATCACAGAATACCTGATCTCTTTGCCATATTAACATATGCTCCATCCCTTGGAGATAGGGGTTTTGTACAGGTGTGTGAGGAGCACAACTTAGGGCATAGAATCATAGAATATTAGGATTGGAAGAGACCTCAGGAGGTCATTTAGTCCAATCCCCTGCTCAAAGCAGGACCAACACCAACTAAATCATCCCAGCCTGGGATTTGTCAAGCCAGGCCTTAAAAACCTCTAAGGATGGAGATTCCACCACCTCCCTGGGTAACCCATTCCAGTGCTACCAGAATTTTTTTTTTTGGCATCTGTCAGCACTGCCCAATGTGTATAGATGTTTTTTAGTGAAAACTGCTTCAGGTCTGACTTGTTCATCAATCACTAATGTTTACAGTACACAAACTGGAGGACTTTGCAGCTCTTTCATGAATGCAGTCAGGTTTCAACAACAATGTGTCAATTAGATCCTCTGCACTGGAGCTAGTTAAATACAGTAAAAATAGGGTTCATGGACATTTATGTGAATGCCAAATAACTGTCCAGGTCAGCTATGTTTGTGTCCCTTTTTTATTCCTATTTGCTAACATTCCAACAAATAGGTTTTTGTCCCCATTGTTTCTGCCTAGGGTGTTATATTACTGCCCATTCCCGTAGTATCTGAGTGTCTTCCATTAGACAAACTGCTCCAGCTTTTTTTCTGCTTTTTTCTAACTTTCCAGAAGATGGTAGTATTGAAATAACATATGCTGAGGGTATGTGTATACTACAATTAAAAACCCGTGACTGGCTCATGCTAAAATCTCAAACTTTTAGGGTTCACAAACATTTGCATAAATGAACACACCAGTTGTGCAAGTACTTGTGGGCAACAAATCACATGACATGTAACAGGGGAACGAACACACCATGTTGATTTGTGAAAATATCCACAAGCCAAATTTTGTATTTCTCAACTAGCTCTACCATAAACTTCCCTGAAATCTTTCTAGGCCCTTCCTTTGTGGAATTAGCATGCTCAGAAAAAGGAAACTTGCTGTATTTTCTCCTGGGCCTTATACCGCTGCCCATTACCATAGTATCTGAGTGCCTTCCACATACCATCAATCGCAACAGTAAAGTCCTTAGTAAGTTTCATGGAGTCTCTAATACCCCTCCCTTTTTGGAGTCAAAACTTTGCTTGAAGTAGGATTTTTTGTTTTGACATTTTTTTTGAAGATTTATTTAGCTGGTAGGGTTTAGCGGTAAAAAAAGTGTCAGTGTTGGGAGCATATTTTTTATGGTGGAAAGGCAAAGAAGAAGGTTTTTCAGAATTTCCTAATGATGGTCAGAATCTGGATACATCAAATCCGTCTTTAGGAAGTCCACTGTGCAGCCAAATGCCCTTGACCAAGAATGTTTTGTACTGTCAGTGTGACTGCCACAGATTTAGGGGTTATGTGCCTTTATTATTTAGGGGCTTATACCCACTTACCATTTGGGCAGCTGGTGGGCTATGATCACTACTTATCATGCTGTTATCATCCCATTGTTACTTGCTGCTCTTCCATCTGTTTGTTATATCTACCTGTTGGTTTTCATTTTATATTTAGACTCTTTGAGGCATGAACAATCTCTTTGTGATGTGTTTGCTGTGTCTGGCACAATGGGGCCCCGATCCCTAGTTGGAGCTGCTCGGCACTACCACAATACAAATAATAAATACTTGACTCTTTTGCTCTTCCCTGTGTTACAGATTGGATGGGAGTATAGGGCCCTCAAGTGTTCCAGACAATAGGATTATGCAGGCACATTTTTGCTAGAGAACTTTAAAACTACCATACAGTGAAAAATTAGAGGATCTACTGGCAATCCGATTATAATCTATAAACATAATCTAAATCATGACATGGAGACACTGATTAGATATGACCTAACTGGACAAATAATCAATATTGGATTTATTTCAGCTTTCTGTTTACAAAATGGATTGGTGACAATGGATGACTTCCTCTGGGAAAACACAGTGGAAAAGATACCAGTGAGCAACTACATAGGCCACTTGAGGTCACTATTGCTTGATAATGTACAATACAATGGGAAGACTATAGCAGGGAGGGAGTTTTACAAAAGAAGAATCTTATAAAAGGTTTAGAGATGGCATCTGGCCCTCTCATTTAAACAGAATGAGAAGAATACACTGTTTAGGGATGCACACAACTTCTGCTTCCATGCAGTTAACGCCGCTGGCTAGTGGGTAGCACTGTTGCTTTTTGTACTCACAGTTGAAAGTGAAATAATTCAAAAACACAGCACTACAGAAACTATACATTTGCCCCACATCTCTTATAGCCCTGTGAAAGGTCTAGCTGAATTACACAAAGAGAGGGTCAGATCCTGCAGCCCATGCTCACACGATTAATCCCATTATTTTAATGTAAAGCAAGTAGGATTAGGCCCAGAAAGGTGGCTAGAAAACAGATTAA